CTTTCATATACTACATGCCTTATGGCTCTAATGTAACGAGTACGCGCACTTTCACATAACGTCTGTATATAATCTCAATCCCAGACCTCCACACTGCACTATGCGCAGTGGCAGATGGGGCCCTGGGATCGAGATTGTTTATAATTAGCCGTACATACTTTGATGACCGTTCCATTGGTCAACACTGTCCGTGAAACTTCCTCCATGGCCTTTTGCCTCAATGTCTCACATTCGTGATGTCCAAGTCCTTTGACTGGGTATCTTTGTCTTACCGCAACCCCTCCCTTATCGCCATTACTGGCATATAAACCATCGTTAAAGTACTCAACGTGCAGTCCATCAGGACACGTGATGTAGAAATGTTGAAATGGCTTCTTTTTCTTCTCTTCTTCGGCACGTTTTTTTGCTTCTTCTTCGAGACGTTGCTTTTCTTCCTCTTGTTGCTGAAGAAGCTCTTCCATCCTATAGACAAAACAATGATATTGTATTCAATGTTACAGGGATCAAGGACGCCGCAGTTAATTAGTGCCCTGCCTTCTATGAGAGAGGTCCTAGTTCGATTTCAGTGATACAACATTGACGTATTGTCGTTCAGCTTGAGTAGTGCGTCTTCAACGGAGCACGTGATGTAAAAAAAAACGCACCGTAAACTTTCTGGGAGATTAGATACAGAGAAAAGGACATCGATATTGAATATCGTTCTTTAGTTTGCTTCTTAGTTTTGTTTGTTTTTGGTTTTGTGTCAAGATTCGTTCAATAAAAGGAACAAATTCCTCGTAGCTTCAAACCCCACCATCGTTTTATATATGTTTTCTATCACACTGGTACGTTTATCATCCCATACCTTTTTGCCTCTTCGTCCATCTTTTTTCTTGATTTTGGAGAAGACGCCTTAGGCTGAGGGCTTGGTGTTCCATGTGCTGTAACACCACCATCAGGTACAGCCATACTAGTAACAGTGACTTCGACTTCTTTTGGTTCTTTATCAATAACGGACCCACAGGGACCATATCCACTATGGGTTAAAATCATGCCATCGCTAAATTGGGCAACAAAAGAACTAAAGTCACAGAACGGTTTTGGTCCTTGACGGACCTCTTGAATGGTTTCTTTCTCTGTCCCTTCAATTTCACTTTTTTCAATGTGTTCTTCTACATTTCCCTCTCGATTCTTTTTATCTTCATCTACTGTGGTTTTTATTTTTTCTTCTGTATCTTCTTTGGGCTGAATGACATCCAGAGGCTCCAAAAAGTGAAGAATGAATATATTCCCATCCCTGTACACGGAGACCCTAACGTTTTTCGTGCCTTGCACGTATGAGTTTTTGTCTACTCGAATCTGGCCCCCATCGCTAGGGAAYAAAGTTGACAGGGACCCGGAGGCATGTATCAAGTTGTCCCCAACGTCATAACCAATGAAATCATAGGACTCTTCAAGTGGTGCCTCGATTGGCTGAGAGGGTGTTTCTTCACCAGGCTCAGCAGAAGAACCAAGTCGTGACCTTGACCTTGACCCTTTTTTATCTTTGCTCGAAGCACTCTTGGTGGATTGTGATCCTTTGGCTGAGGAACGRCCTGATTTGGGTCGACTGCCAGCTGAGCCTTCACGTTTCTTATCTAAACACAGAGTTGACTGGGTGAGACACTGGCACAACACAGAAAACAAACAAATGCATGGAAAGGCCGTATAAAACACAAACAATGGGTTGTCGAGCCTCAATTAAAAGTCCCTCTATTTAGCGGTCACCCCCATTTAGCGGTCACTCATGAATTCCTCAAAAGTCAAACTCTGTTAAGCGGTCACTTGGTCTTTCATAAAAACAGATATGAGGTTCTAATAGATGTTCAACCACCAAAAAGCAAAGCACACGCAACATAAAAACAACTGATAGAAGACCACACAAAATCGTGAAATAGAAAAAGAAACAACAAGGCAATAATCTTGATATGAACTAGAGTTTTACCTTTTTCTTTCKTATCAGGCGAATGATCTTTAGCTCTAGATCGAGCGCTGTTCCTACCAGGAGACCGAGTACCTCGCGCACTCTTTTTCCCTTTGCCTTTCTTATTCTTTTCCTCTTCTTCTGCTTTTAGTGCGTTGACCTGCGTCCTGGTCATCAAGCCATACCTGCTTCCTTCCTTTAGTGGAGCTGGAGTTTCTTCAATTACTATGGGGGGTGGGGTGGGGGTTCTTGCAGCTTCTATTCTAATTCGTTCCTTTTCATCTATCCATGARTTGATTGACGTGGCCACATTGTCCAGGTAGTTGCGGAATCCTACATTCGAGTGTAGTTTGGTTTTCCATGATGACTGGCTTTTACAGTCTTGTCCAACAGGGTTGTGTAGGGCTATTAGAAGTGAGTGGTCTTTCTTATGGTAATATGTGTCCATATATGGTAGGGTGAAACGAGCGTCCTCTAAAACCTGACAATAATAGATTTCTTTTACATCACATTATAATAGTGACAATAATAATAACAATTCCTTCCATTTTCATCGATTTGTACTAAGCACACTATTTGAAAATGAGATAATGTTATAAGCAGATTTCGTGTACAAAAACTAGTATGGTACTTTTGATGATGATGATGATGATGATGATGATGATGATGATGATGATGATGATGATGATGATGATGATTAGCTGTAATCTTACCTGAAGTAAAGTAGTTTTGTCAAAATACTCCATAAAACACCAGTCGTCAAGGTTACGGAATGACGTCAAAGGTGAATTACTTTCAATCTCAGATATCTTGAGTTTGCCTGAATCATCGCTGCAGAATTTGACCTGAAAAAAAAACAACATCAATAAAGAATTACTCAGATACCATTACCATTACTGAGATACCATTTCCAGGACCGAAATGCATTATTAGTGGTCGTACCGTCGACCTAAAGGCATGTAAAGGCCCCTTTACACTCACACTTCGCTGTTATCGCCGCAAAGTTGCAGCTAAATTTCAGGCATGTTCGAAACTCAGGCAATGGTCGTTGACGATTGCCGCGACCGACAATATATCGCGCTGCAACACATGGCAAGGTGTAGACGGGCCTTGACTGTTTCTAAGTRACTTTGCCCTGTACATTCGATGAAAAGCATTTTCGTTTAAAGCTACCATATTGTAGCGCCAATTCAGTGGAATCAAATAGAAAAATGGCATGTCGATCTTGGAACACACTATCCAGGATTAAAAGCAGATTATTGTAACAATGATGAAAAGATTGTTACCTTCATAAAGTCCTCGAGTCTACTGTACGGATAGTCCCAAGGATTACAATATGACCTGAAYGCTTCATCTAACTCAACAGGATCTATGATGTCTCCATTGTCATTCACACTTTTAAGAAGCATTCCTTCAAAGGCGTACTGCTTTAACGCTTGTTCCATGATGTCAGGATTAACGGACTTTGACTTCAAGAAGTGACGCAATTCACTAGTGCACGCGGCACGTTCGACAGTTTCCCGCTCTTTTGGTTCAGAGATTTCTCCCATAYAGCTTTGCGTGAATTCGAGCATTTTTAGCTCTACTTGCATGGGATCGAGGCTGTTTTGTGATTTGAGGTGATGAGCACGAGCTGACAACTSGTCTCCATGGTGAAGTAAGATTGGWAGTTTGGAATTCCCTGGTTTCTTGTCTTTGTCCAAATTGTCTGAAATAGACTACAAGTAGACAGTGACATTATGTTTTTAAGGAATTCAACTATCATTATTAATGATATCATAACTGTATCTACTTACCAACTTGGCATCTTCAGAGAGAGCAAGTTTGCTTGCTTTATTGTTGATATGATTAGCTAGTACATGGTTGAGACCATCAACACGTACTGGGCTTTCTTTATCAAGTGGGTTATTTTCGTCTACAGTTACACTGACCTATTAAAATACCAAATCATTGGATCTATATAAATATAATCATCATTATCATTATCATTGTCATCATCAAGAATTTACTTGGATTTTACAACAAGTGGCTCACAGACTCTGCAACACCATTCTATACTTTTCCTTATCAAGAAACTAACAATGGTTTAGAATACAGAATAAAATGATGTAATTGAGACCTATCTGACCTGTTCCAGCAGGCAGTGCAGTAATAGAGGAACACTATGGCTCTCTGGAGGGACTATATCCATGAGGTGCTTGTAATATCGTGTGTCCACTTCAACATGAATAGGAGCCTGAGTGTCAGGTGCTGTTGAATACAACATTGTATATAGATCAATGTAAAACCACAGAAACAAAATACAACGAAACACTGTRTACTACATCATCCTTGAACTATGATTTCTCCTCTGAAATTTGGACAAACAAAGTTTTTGGATGACATGAGCTGCAATTTTTGCAGTGATTTTATTGCAAACCCAAATTAAATGCATGTCCAAGAACCTATTCCAGTGTGATTTCACAATGACAGCATGCAGGTATAGCCCAGCAAATTCAAATTGCTGTGATTTACACTTGAATTTTGTATGAAATCACCATGACTTTCCAGGATGTTTAAACATGAGATAAAATTGCAACAAAAGTTGCAGCTGCTAGATTGCTAGAGTKTAAACAGGCATTATCAAATTCATTAATAATTCATAAGGTAAACACAATGGAAAATCATTGCCGTGACCGCATCTTTATATGAGCAAGAGATTTGTCCTGATTTGCATACAACTTTAACTTCGATTTTCTCTTACAAATGATATTTTATCCCGATTTTTTTTCAAAATATGCTTTACCTTATGTTGGAATTTGATAGAAATATAAAATATTTGCATCCCCCGCTCATATTTTATATATTACTTAAAGGTAGTTCGATCAACACCCTACAGACAGTAATATCCATACCTGCTGTACCCATGACAGACTGGGAGGAAGGTACCTCTAAAACAGGTGGTGGAGGTGCTGTCGTGTGGATAGGGATGTGCAATAGCTTCATGCTCTCTAGATACTGTTTGTACAGATTGTAGTGATCAAGCATATTRTAGCAAGTCACTGCAACATCCTCAAACAGGATTGTACCAAACTCAGTCTGCACAAGACAAAAAATGTCAGAGCATAATAAGTTATAAACTATATTGATTAATTACAAAAGATAGAGTGCTTTTAGTAAAAGTGCAAAAAAAATAGTACTACTTTTTGCACTATTTTATGCTTTAATTCTTTTGTGTAGGAACTACATTTTACAATTTAGTAATTAGTGTTTCATGGCCTTTTACTGAAAGACCCTACCAGTGATAAACATTGGTCATAATCATAATAAATGATGGAATTACATTGTATATCAAAATGACTTATAAATTCAGAAATTCAGTATGGCAATAGTGKCAAATATATGAAATTGATATAAGAGATAGTTGGACATGTACAACTGTAGTAATTTAAACACCAGTTGCAATATCTTGACCTACCTTTTTCTCATCCTCTAGTTCTTGCAGGCTTTCTTCAGGCACATCCTTATCTTTGACAAGAACAGTGTACTTAGCAATGTCCTTWAGCTTACTTCCAGACTGTGCTTTTAGCACAACACTATCTGATTCTTTCCAAAATGTTTCAAGCCTGTTTTCAAACTCTTTCTTTTGAGCTAATCTTTCATCTTCTTGGATGGCTTTTTCCAGCTCTTCAGGATCTTGTTCCTGCATACACATATTGAATTTAGAATAATGAACTTCAGATAACTTGTACCTTGAGTACACCTCTACAGTATCTTAGAGACAACACCGTCCTATTATAAATACAAATATTTAACATAAAAAATACAAACATAAAAACAAAGATTAATCCACTCTCCAAAGAAATTCAAGTCTGTAAAACTCTCTCAGCAATCAAGCTATTGCATAGAGTGAGATGTCTGTTTTAATGTGATCATGAGTTGACTGGAAGTACAATGTTGTCTATGTTGTAGTTCAGGTTCAATATGATTTTGAACCAGTTCAATTTCTTCTGAACTGGTTCAGTTTATTTTGAGCAAATCAGTTTAGGGTTAGGTTTAAGGTTAGGTTTAGGGTTACGGTTACGGTTAGGTTTTGGGTTAGGTTTAGGGATAGGTTTAGGGTTGGGAATACTACCAACAAAATCCTTGATGGTATAATTGGTAGTACTGTGGAATATGAAGCAAGAGTTCAGTGGTTCAAACCCTGATGAAGGTAAGTGTTATTCATACATTAAAAATATAGAAAATATCAATATTTCTGTGGGGTATAGGGTAAGATAAAGTAGGAAATAGTAGAAGGTAGGAAATAAGATGATAGATAGAAAATGCGAGAAAATGAGATGGGATATAGTTCTTTTTTAGTTCTTTTAAGAATGGCAAAATGGCAAAGCAAAAAAAAAAATAGACCAGTACAAGAAGTCTTGTACTGGAACAAATTAGATTAAACTGGTTCAAAAATATATTGAACTTGAACTACAACATCTACATCATAAGAACAATCCTTCTATCTCAAATGTCTGTGATGTAGCATTTTAGGCATCATAGACGAGATAAACCTGCATGGTTCATGATAAATATTCCAAATTGACTTGTCCAAAACAAAACAATTGGCAACCCTAGCGCAAATAGGATCCTGACACAATCTAACCAGGATCCTGTATGAGATCCTATTCAAGATCCTGATCTGTAGCTGATCTTACAGGATCCTGTTTAGGATCCTATTCCTACTAAGAATCTTACACAAGAATATTGCAAGATCCTATTCCTATGCAGGATCCTGCTTGGTATCGTAGGATCCTGTTCCTACATAGGAAATACAATCCCATTCCTAAATAAGATCTTACAGAATCTTACAGGATCCTGTCTAGGATTTGCACCAGGGAACTAAGACAGTATAGAATGTCATTGTCTTCTTGAAACACAGCTAATCAGAAAAGCCATTCCCAATTAGCGCAGGTTAGTACCACCATCTCTTATGTRATGGATTCTTTACGTCCAACTAGATTAAAATTACCTCTGTGGGTTTTTCTCCTTCAGGTTTCTCCTCAATTTTGGTTTCAAACTTGTCGTAAGTCTCAGACTTGATACAAATAATAGAGTCTACTGTAATACCAATGTCMGTAAGACAGCTGATRACAGCAGGCATTAGAATCCCATGAATRAGGACATAGTGTTGAGGGCATGCTGCATCATCTGGCTCATCATCTGTCAATCAAATAGCAAATAATGAATGGATGAATTTTCCAGTCAAACAAAATCAGCCAACGTCATGTCTAGAATAACTGCATATCTTACTCTCCATATACAGCGGTTTCATTATCTTTTTGAATATTAAGTATCCGGGCTAATAGAGGCATAATAGGCGGTGCCTATACCAGTCCMGGGGGGTGGGAAATCTTCCCTATCCCAGACCAATTTTTGAGCTCTGAAAAAGGGACCCTTTTAAGCGCAACATACTCGTATAGCAAATATAGGGGAGAACCCCCCTCCCCCCAACCCCACCCCACCGGGTACCAGTAGCTGCCTATTTCTGAAACCCCTGAACAGAATTATCTTACCAATGGTTTTGAAGGTATCCTCTATGTCACCTCTTCTTTTGAGTTTTGTGTCTTTCTTTGGTGAGGCTGGTACATCTGCTTCTTTTTTACCTTTTTTCTTGCCTGGTGACTTAGATCTCTTTCCTGAAGGACTTCTAGACTTCTTGCCCTTGTCATCTTTCTTGGCTGCTTCTGCAGCTTTTTGAGCCTGCATTGAAAGCATGTGATAACATTTTTCATTGTCAATGAATTTTTACATGCCTTTTTGACAATATACAAGGACTTCAAGCCCATCATGCTTTGCTGTACCAAACGGTATATTATTGCCCTATTGTTAATTTTGTAAGCTAGTTCATGATTCTATATTTGGAAAATACAACCACAGATTACCTTCCTCTCTTCTTCTCGTCTTTCYAAATCTTTTTGCTTTATTTGAAGCAGTTTAAATTTGAGTACTTTTGCCATTAATGAGGGAGGAACAGGCTCTCCTTGATCTAGAAGAGCTTTAGCCTGTTCACAGACCTCAAAGAATGGTGGGGGTCTGGCCGATCCTCCCTTCCCTTTACCACCTCCTGTGTGTCCTTTCCCAAATTCCCTAACCTGTAAGATGCAAAAGTATGACTAAGAAAATTCYATTTATCTCCAGAAAATGGCAGATCAAAGTTGCCCAAAGCATACTAAAAGTGCTATTTCGAGAAATTCCAACACAACCTTGCGAGTTAATTAATTAATCTTACATCTCTGAGTAGACTGTCTTCTGTTATCACACTGAACAACTTTCTAAGGCCAGTTGAAACGACATTCGACAGAATATCGACATATAYATTGTCCTCAAACTTTCCAGGAGCGATAAAAAATACGTTAGATCTCCATGTTTCCTGCACAATGAAGCAAAGAAAAATGGGTTACAATCTTCAATTTATATGTAAAGAAGAAAATGTCAAATTCTGAAGATCACGTCGGTTTTCACCTCGTTAAACTGGGCTTGAATAAGCTCTGTTTCCCATTTACTAATTTCATTAGCTGAAGCACTTTTTCCTCTTTTAGATTTAGACATATTAACGTCAAATTTTCATAGAATTATCAGKTAAAACAACTTTTATCTTGCGTTATAAATTTATCGCTGCAAGTCCGCCATTTTGTGATTTGTTTTCGTTGCTACTCGCAACGGTTGTTTCCGGTGGAAGACTGGTGAAGAGGGAATCTCGAGAGATTCAAAACGAGCCCCCTTCATAACTTCCCCATCTTTTAAAGTACATGGATTTTTATAGTAAAATATATATTTTATGCTTACAAATTATGATATATGATCTCAGACATTTTCAGGTTAAAAAAAATATCAATTTTCTTTTTGTTGTTTTTTTTTACGGGGAAAGTGCTAGTTCGTTATCTTGCGGTACATATTCGCGTGTATAAGTAACATGAACTGAAAAAATCTCCTTTTGGGATATAATCTTGATTGAACTTCTTTGAAAAACCTTAAGTTTTAGGCAGCCTGAGTTTTAGCTGTGGATCGATGATTCCAAAGATTGATACTGGGATCCCTGTGGCTGATGTTTCAAACACGTGGTTTGGACTAAAAATATCCACCAATCATAACAAAGAACCGTTTTGAATCTCAACATCTGATTGGTTGAAATTGAAATCAGCCAATCGAGAGGGAAAAGTTTTTGTTCAAATCCTCAAATTCTCTTGATTGTTCATTTAAATCTCTCATTTACTCGACTAAGAAGGGTGATTTTGAGGTGGTAAAACGTACATTTTGTACATAAATATATTAAACTAACCTTCAAGAGCTTCAGATATGGATGAAAACACRTCTTCACGTCTAAAGACATTCAAAAACCGCGGGAAAGATTCCTCAGTGAGTTGAAAATGCATGACTCGTTTATATCAAGAAGTTCACTTTGAAAGTTGTTGTACATCTAATCTAAAGTCGGCTTTTGATTGCAGGAAATGCGAAGAAGAAGAAATGATGTAACTATAGAATTAAGAAAGGTATTTTTATTCTGTGTTTTTTGGATCTGATGGCTAGTTTATATTTTACGACCATGCGTCTGAAACATGCTGTTTTCTTTGACTTGAGACTGAAGCTACCTTATTTCAAGTTTCCTGTTTTCTTTACACTTTTCAAATGATTTTACATGTACGGAATACAATTATGCAATTGTGACTCTGAAATCTTTCAATGGGTTCTGTTCCAAAGAATAGCAAGGGAACACATTCCGTTCAAGTACAGTGCTTGACGCCGAGGTTCAAATTTCCTTGTTWATATAAGTTGTAGGGGAGGGGATGCATGGTCGTGTACCTACACATTTAACTTTTTTTWAAATCTTCAGGCAAACCGTGATAGTCAAGTTCTGAAAAGACGTAATTTAACCGAGCTAGAAACAAGTCCTCTAAAAGAGCACAATGCGCAACAACAGGTTTGAACTGTGTTTTTCATAGTGCCAAACACTTTTTTCAAACTTTCTTTTTTATACAACTTGTATTTAGATTTGTATRGATCATAACGATATACATTCTCTTGACATAGGTGATTCAGATACTGCCACTTCCAACAGTATTAGAGGTAAGAATAGTCTCATCATTCTTTTCTAACTTCTATTTATTTATAAACCAGGCTCTTGTGTCTCTTTTCCTCTGATATTTAATAGAGTAGGGATAATTATATGGACAGACAATATTCAGCCATGCTATGGTGTTGTAGCTGGCATTAGCCATAACAATTACCATTGTCTTATCATTCTGTATTACTTTATCTGTAGAATTTGCACAAAGGAGATGATAATCTAACTTTTAAAAGTATACAATCAGTGAGAAAGATGTTATCAAAAGAAAAGAATCCTCCAATCAATGATGTTATCAAGTATGTAGTTGTAAATCACTTGATCCTGTCCTTATAACCTCCAGGATTCAAATTTGTTGTTAATTCATACGAATTCATACAGAATTGAGCCAGGACAGAAACAATGAAATTCTATCATTTTTGTCTAGTTTGTATCTATTTCACTATATTTATAATTTCTTTTTTTTACAGAGCTGGACTTATTCCATATCTTGTAAAATACTTAGAACGTTCAGATTTGTAAGTAATGAGATACAAACTCTTATCTTTATTAACAGGTCATAGAATAAATATAGTATTGATCATTATATTCATGAAACATGGGTCTCTTTAAGTTTTAAATGGAGGTGGGTGCTTCTRAAAACGTAACCATTACAAGTGTAATATTGAAAAAATAGCTGAGGCAAAAATATCAAAAAAGACACTGGAGTTTGCCAGTTGCTGGCTGCTAATGAAATCCTTGATGAAACACTTTGCAAGAAATCATACCACATATACATGTATATTATTTGCTTTCAGTCCATTGCTACAGTTTGAAGCAGCATGGGCACTAACCAACATTGCATCKGGAAATTCTGACCAAACTAAAGCTGTTGCTGAGAGTGG